TGCATCTGTAATATAATTACACATGGCCGTTCTAGACTCAGCCATATGTCATAAAAATGATAAGGAATAAAGCCCTAAATTACTTTACTTACTATAAACATTTTGCTTGCATATACTTGACTTTCTACTAATGAAAATGCATTGAACCCAAATATAGGTAAGATGTGTAACAGTTTAATCTGTAAAGAACAATAAGAAAACATACCTGAGGGTCTCCTTGTATCAATGAGAATAAACCTAGACCTAAAAGGTAAATTGGAGAAATTAATCAGAAAACAGCACAAAAAATACTGTAAAAATCCACAATCAGTCGGTGATAATATGTGAAATGGAAAATGTTGTCAAGAGCAAAGCCACATACAGGTATCTCTGCTATAACGCGATAAGATGCTTTCCTGTAAAACCTCGTGTTATGCAAAATAGTGCAATAAAAATAACAGGACTTATGGGAAAAATAGGGTTAGGGGCAGACCATTCAAAACCTAACCAAATGTCTAACCAAAGCTTTACCAAATGTAATAATTATCCCAATAAAAATTTTAGCACAGTTTAAATACGTTAAATTCATAATAAAGAAATACTACAGTACATTTAGGACTTTACCTTGAAAAAGTTCACAACCTGAAATTTTATCACCAGCACGCTTCTTAGACACATTTCTTGTCACCTTGTCCTTGTGACAAGACTATTTACGGCAATGCAGAAGATTTAGGGAAAACAGCACGAAAATTGAGGAGCACCTCCCAATTAGCACTTCCAAAACAAAGCACATTGGACAACTGAGCATCATGTGTATACCTCCGCAGACCGGCGCCTTCAACTGTGTTACTCCGCAGAGCAAAACAAACATGTAAGGGATGAAATCGCATATAAGACAACTTTCCCATGTAAGACATCTTCCCCCTATTTACCAATCGCGTATGAGGCAATTTCCGTTTTGGAAACTCGTGTAATAGCAGAGATCACTGTAGTTCTTTGAAATTAACCACATTTCACCCATGTGAAAAAGAAAAAATCAGTATATTTAAATTAGAGATATACAGTCTGTAATTGCAGTCTAAGTATTTCAACAGTGACAATTTTTGTTGTTTTGGCTCTGTACTCCAGCACATTGGATTTGAAATGAAACAATGACTATGAAGTTAAAGTGCAGAATGTCATCTTTAATTCAAGGGTATTTACATCTATATTGGGTGAACCATATAGGAATCACAGCCTTTTTTATACATTGTCCTCCCATTTTAGAGGACCAAAAGTAAGTGGAGAATTGGTTGCTCAGTTGTTTCTTGGCCAGCTGTGTGTCGTTGCATCGTTAGTTCATGCACAAGAAAGCTATCAAAAGGTCTAGAGTTGATTCTAGATGTGGCATTTGGATCTGGAGTCTGTTGCTGCTGTCTCTCAACATGAGGACCAAAGAAGTGTCAATGCCAGTAAAGTGGGCCATCGTGAAGCTAGCCAAAACATTAGATGTGTCAAAATCAACTGTCTGGTGCATTGTTAAAAAGCAAGAACACACGGGTGAGCTTAGCAATAGCAAACGACCTGGTAGGCCCTGGAAGACCAAAGTAGTGGATGACCAAAGAATACTTTCAATCGTGAAGAAAAACACCTTTTCGACTGTTGAACAGATATAGAACACTCTCCAGGATGCAGGCATAGATCTGTCAAAGACAACCATAAACAGAAGAATACACCAGCATAGGGCAGAGGGTTCACCACAAGATGCAAACCACTGGTAGGCCTCAAGAACAGAAAGGCCAGGTTCCAGTTTGCTAAAAAGTACAGGAAAAAGCCTGCAGAGTTCTGGGACAAAGTCTTAACCAGAACCATAGTGAATGAAAGAGGAAAGTGTGGGGAGAAAAAGGAACTGCTCATGATCCAAAACATACCACCTCATCTGTGAAACATGCTGGAGGTAGTGTCGTGGCTTGGACACGTATGGCTGCCAGTGGAACTGGCTCACTTGTCATTACTGATGATGTGACTGCTGACGGCAGCAGCAGGATGAATTCTGAAAACTCATTGGATGGCACCTGGCAGCGGGACAATGACCCCAAACATACAGCTAAAGCAACTATGGTGTTTTTCAGAGCAAAAAAGCGGAATGTTCTTGACTGGCCAAGTCAATCACCCGACCTGAATCCCACTGAGCATCTGTTTCACTTACTGAAGACAAGACAAGACTAAAGACAAAAAGTCCCCAAAACAAGCAGGAACTGAAAATAGCTGTATTACAGGCCTGGCAGATCATCACCAGGAAAGATACTCAGTGTCTGGTGATGTCTATGGGTCGCAGACTTCAAGCAGTCATTGATTGCAAAGGATTTGCAACAAAGGACTAAACATGACCATTTTATTTAAGATTATGTTAATGTGTGCAATTACGTTTGGTCCCCTAAAATGAGAGAGCTCTGCATAAAAAGGGCTGCAATTCCTATATGGTTCAGCCAATATAGACGTAAAAAACCTTGAATTAAAGCTGACATTCTTCACATTAACCTCATCGTCATCGTTTCATTTCAGATCCAATGTGCTGGAGTACAGAGCCAAAACAAAAATTGCCACTGTCAAAATACTGAAAGACAGCACTATTTAACAACAAAAAATGATTTTAATCTCACTAAATATGAGAATGTAGATGTAAGAATAGAAATTCTTACTTTGCATGTCTGCTGAAATTGTAGATAAGGTTGAGTGATGGAATGGAACTGCATAATCAGCTAGTGGAGAAGTTATGTATGATGTTTCCACGGTTTGGACATTTGGCACTCGCACAGTTGAAGGCTGGTAAGTTAAGACCCTGCAAAGCAAACATCAAAAAAAATATACAAAGATGTTTTATGGAAAACTGATGCCCCCAATTTTATCTGAAAGTAGCACAATGTGTTACTCCACACTAACAGCGTGGACTTGCTGTTAGGGCTCTGGACTAGGTAAGAGACTGTATATGTAAGAAAGGTCAATGTACTTCTCTCAGGACTGCTCCAGTAAATTCTCTGCTGTAAAAATGTCAGCCTTTCTCCATGCTGTCACTGTAAATGAAAATACTAATTTCATAATAAAATGAACTAAATTACAAAGAAAAATAAAATAAAATTCATGTAGACTAGCATGTTGCATTGCAAGTAACCTAAATTTAAAGTACTAAACTAACACTGCTATTTAAAAATTAAATAAGTATATGTCAACAATGGAGACTGTAGATAGTTACATCTTCCTATTGTTTGATCTAATGCATTATCACCCGCTTTCAAACAAAAAAAAGGAAAGCACAACGCCCTTTATATTATTACTGACCCTTTTCCATGCACTTCCTCAGGCTTAGACATGTACAGACAGCGTTTCTTGAGTGGTGGTATCTCCTCTTCCTCTTCTTCACCTTCAGAGGAGCTCTCTATAGTGAGATCAATTATGTCTGCCTTCTTCAAACTGCTGGGGTCACTGGCTGTCATCACTGCACAAGGCCTGTTGACAAGACTTGAACCTGCAAACATTTTGAAAAAGATTATTCCAATGTGTCTCTGTAAAACTGACTAGAAATGATCCTGAAAAGCTGCTTGTATGTAACCCTGTAGTGTTTTCCTCTACTTCAAAAACGACTTACATGATGAAGTCTTTGTCCCACAGCAGAGATAACACTTATCTCACTGTTTCTCACAGGAATTCATCTTGAGAGTACAGACAGTATGCGTCGGGTTGGGAAATTTGCTCATTTTTAATAATGTGACAGAAAGATTGCATTAACCAGCAACTTTTAGAATTGATCAATCAACTGTAACCAATGCTATATATCCACTGATACTTTACAAAATGAAAAATGTCATACATAAAGTATCTAGGATAGTCAAACAGGTTCTTAAAACGAATGTTTCCCAATGGTTAGAAAATATTACATTTTGCATCAATCTTTAAACAGATTCAGGCAGGATACCAGGTCTTATAATTTCAAATACTAAGATCTAAACTAAAAAAGTATTTGCATCATAAACATTAGGAATTTAGGAAGGACTGGTTATTAAAGTAAGCTTGCCAATTTTTTTTGGCCAGCTAAGCTAACAAGCTAAGATAAAGTGTGATATGACACATTAAGACTTTTAAAGAAAGCCTCTGACTTGATAGATGGATAATTAAGGGGAGGAGATAACAGAACTGAGGAGATGAGGGGTCTGTTTTATGCTAAAAGAATATTTGTTATCCTATAATGATGAAGATACAATTATATACAGTATTCAACATGTTAGAAGTAAATACTGCTCTGGAATAAAAAAAAAATTCCTGACATTAATTTAACGACACCCCCTTTGCCTTGGAGAAAATAATAAAAAAAGGCTAAAGAAACTGTGCAACAAATCCATATGCATTACAGCACACAGTGCATTGAAGACTGTAAACACAGGGCAGCTCTTTATCATGGGTTGTTGGACTGAAATAAAATCCCTAGTTCTTGAAGCTGCTTGCCTGGTTTGCTTCTAGAAGTGGCTGGAAAAGATGTCTAGGTGAATTAGCTACTAGCAACCAAACAAGCAAGATGACTTCCTTTCATTTCCAACTCTTAAAACTCTTTGTGCATAAAAGGAAACTATTTCATAAGAGGAGTTTACAAATAAACACAGCTGTGAAGGGGATGTGGCAAACTTTTAAATTATTAAAATAAAAAAAGATAACACACTAAACATGACCAGACCTTGGCTCATAAGACAGTGAAACTATCAGGCAGGAAAACTGGACAAGGTTTTCCACAATGCACATTGGTCTTAAGCAAAACAAAATTAAAAAGTACTCTGACAAAAAACCTTACAGCACTTTACACTAGCACAGCACCTATTTGACTTCATTGTTTCCCCAGAATCTTTTTTCATTAAAATCAAGTGTTTGACCTTTCCTGTAGGTCTGTTGTCTGCATGTCATTGCCTTGTTGGTTGTGGATTTCTTGCTAGCACGACTACTCCAGAAGACAGGGAAATACAGTGGCAATAGTCATGTGACCAAGCCCTACCTCTTATCACTTAATATTTTATTTTCAAAGGAAGTATTACTTGTGCTACATTTTAAGATCAAGCTAAGTTCAGCCAAAGGAAAACGTGCCACGTTCATTAGTGATGGAAACGGTAATCCATCTTTGTCATCTGCCATTCAGTTGTCTGCCACCCAACCTCCAACACCTTCCTAGAAAGGTAAGGGTAACTTCCCTGTTTCCCTATTTGACACACAACATTCTACAGGAACACAGGCTTCAGCTCAACTGTTAACCATGAATAAAAGCATGGGAAATTAAAAATGTAAAAAATCCCACTACCAACATTACAAGTTATTTTTAAAGGTCTTACTTTCTATTTTTGTGCTACACTGGGCCGACACTTTCAGTGTTTCTTTCTTTGGTCTCATTGGACACCAGCTGCCATCTTCCTGGAATTTAATTTCATCCACATCTGTACAGTCATTCAGGATTTCCATGAACAGCCTGAAAGAGAAAATTACAAACTATACGGGTGGGCGCAACCACTGTATGTATTGATTAGCTGATGGCCTATCAGTCATTTAGGCACATTGTAGCTAGAAGAGAACAATATCTTAGAATACCTGATGGTGTGTGTATACATCTGTGTTAAATCTAATAGGAATGTTGCCTCAACTGAGTTAGGAACGGTTAGGAAAGCTGGAATTTCCTGGATGTCACCAGACAAGGTCATTTGAGTCTACTCACCCATCAATGATCAGACTTTCGTAAGCAGCTTTCTTGTCACATACAGGACAAATCCATGTTGGTTTCTTCTCATTCATCTGAAGGTAAAGAGCAGCATCAAAGCACTGTAGATGCGAGCAGGTAACTGCACGGCATGGGACTGTCAAACGCATTTTACCAAGCTGGAGGAGAGAAGAGAAAGTGTGTGCACCCAAAGGTCAGAAACCTAATTTAGGATGGGAAGGAAATTTAACAAATTGGCATGTCATTCATTACATAAGAGAAAGCTTACTGGGCACATCAGCGAGACTCTTAAACTGGTTGTGGCAATCTCACTGTCAGGGTCTGCAGTCAGCTTTTCTTTAACTGAGGAAAAAAAAATCAAAAGTCTAATTAATACATGGAGAGAAAAAAGCACAAGATGTTTCATTTCAGCACCATTTTGGGGTTCAGAGCTCTCCATGAAGGTTTTAGCCTATTAGTGAAACAAACAAATATGAAACAAAGTAATAACCAAATTCCACAGGTTGATAATATAATAAACAGTATAATAATAGAGTATTAAAGCAAATCATACAAAAATGGTACAGCACTACAATACTAAAACACAGACTTTTCAGTTCTTCATGTCACATGACTGGACAAAGTAAAATAGACATGCATATGGAACAAATCTTGATGTATAAGATCAACCTTTTGAAGTTTGCTGATCATTCCAATGTGAACATGTTATTACACACAGTTTTCGATTTAAGCTGGTACAAGATTCTAAATCACAAGTGTGACACTTACTTAGAGCTCTAGAATGGTCAGGGTTTCTAATGCCTTTCATTTTTAGCCTCTGCAGAAGCAGTGAAGATGTGAGCTGCCTCACAAGGTACACAGACATAGAATATGTCTGAAAAACAGAAAACAAAAGACATACTAGATACAAAAAAATAGGCCAGCAAAAAAGCATACTCTGCTTTGCAAAAAAAAAACACTCAAAAGACAAAATGCACATATTGCAATGTATTTCAATACACTCTGACATTTTATGTACTATATGTTCATCTAGGAGAAATGCTGTTGCTGAGTCAGAACAACAATATTAACAAATGAGTAGTAACAGACCTAATTAAAGATTAATCACTGATAGTAGTTCAATTAGGTAGCATGCTTCGGGTGTAAAATTTAAGGCATAAGATTGACACCCGAAGAAGGCTCCACAGCCAAAACGTTGCGTTTCCTTTCTGCTCTTTAACTTGTTCCTTAATCACGCATACACCTACACGTTGCGGTTAAAAGCCCTGTACCTGTATGAGAAACAATCATAAGCTGTTGCATATTACAAAAGGGCAAATGGATAATGACACTCCCCTTTAACTTAACAGTTTGAGAAAACCAAGAGGAAAACAATACAATTTTGTTTCATGACAGTTTGAGATGCAAGTTAATTTTATCCTGTAAAATACTGAATAAAGTTGTCAAACATAAGGTGATTAGCTAAATGCATTGATTACATGCTACTACAACAGAGTTTTCTTATTTTGCTCACTTTCTTGTTGAGTTCTTTAAGGCTGCTGTAAGGTGTTGTGCAGCTGCTTTGGAACAGACTGGTTCAGATTTTATATGGACCCTTCAGAAAATTGCTGCAAGATTCACCTTCCAATTTTTATATTCAGTTAAGTAATATTTTTTGTTTTATACCATCATGATCCTAAATTATGCACTTGAGCTGCTGTAGGCAAAAATATTTTCATCGGGCGTTATTAGCCGTTTTAGAAAAAAAATTATCCTTCACAACACAGACGTTGTAGCAACCCCTTTGCAAATATAATAGAGATTTTGATTATTATGTCTTAATGAGCCTTCCTGTTCTCTGATAATCCCCCCCTTCACATTAAGACAAGAGGGCAAGCGAAAAGCAACATCTATATAAAACGTTTATTTACAAAAGAACTAAATATTATGATTCCCGCAAACAGATGATACTTTAAAACACTTAGCAAATGCTACATTAATTTCTTTTAATGTATACATGGGAAAAGGCCAACATACAGCACAGTGGAGGTATTTAACACAGACCAAAGATTATCTAAACAATTTTTACAACCACTGATTAGTCTACTGAATGGGGAGCTTAATCAGTCAAAAATAAATGGCACCAGTTGTAAAGGACCCTACTCTTAGTAGTAACCTTTAACGTTTACTTTTTGAGCACAAAAAAGAACAGCTGCATGTTAATCTTATTCAAACAAGTAAAACATTAAAATCCCCTTTAATACTATTTTTGTCTGTTGGACATTTCACCCACAAAGGTCAAGCTTTAGAAATGTAAACAGAAGCTTACCTTTCCAATTTCAGGTGCCCATGTGACAGAAATCTGATTAGGCACAGCGGATGATAATCTGACCGAGGAAGTAATATTTAATGGCCGGCCTTGCCTTTTCTGTTCCACTCCATTTTTAGGAGGGGGAGGATAGCCCTATAACAAAGCAAACTTTCATTTGCAAACTCATAGCAGAACATGCAAGGTGAACTACATTATGTATAACACATAGAGAGGACATACTGTACTTCACTTTCCTATAGATAGGAGTTCATGAATCAAAGCATTTACAAGATGCAAAACAAATGACAGCATACTTGTAAAACAGTTTTTAAATTAGATATTAGCATAACACTATTTTGAAATAAACATTATTAAAAAGAATCATCTGTCCACAGTTCACAAACATCTAGCATATAAGGTAAATAAAGAGAAAGAATCTAGTAAATCTAGCAGATAAAGAGAAAAAATTAGTACGTGATGTATTCAATAATTCAGATAATGTTTTTCTTCCTTTGTCTAACTGCTGTATTAGTCAGCTTTAACAGTAAAAATGTCAAGAACAAAAACAAATGTTTACCGGTAATGGGAAGGGTTTGCCATTCACTTTTATGCACAAACTGTTTGGATAGTTGTCTTCCTGAGGGCAACTGGTCTCTGCAAGGCAAAACCTGAAGCCAAAGGTAAAAGACACACTGTAAAAATGCAACCTTGTGAATCTCCAAAAGACATGTTTGTGAATTTGTATAATTAAGGTACACTGATGTGGATAAATGCATTATTGAATTCTATATTTTATTTATTGTAGCCACTGAAAACAGGCACAGTGGTAAAAAAAAATAACTTCACCTGTTAAGTGGAGTTTTGCTCCATACACTGTACATGTTTCTTGGTACAATATGTCTCACAGTTCCTTTACGATTGCTGTGTCAGTTCCCCAACCACATAACATGTCATATGCAAGCAAGGCTGAGGTTAGGAGATACACTATAAAGACAAGTCTGAAAGACTGTATTTCTGACTGCATCCAGTCTTTCCAAATTACGCACTCTAAGGGTATACTCCTCGTTTTCAAATTATGTTTTGGAACAAAATCTTTTTGCATCTACACGAAACATCATATTGAAGAATGTCACATTTTTTTTCTGTTCAGTTTCAAATGTGGCTCACTTAGACATGTTCATACACTATGATGGCTTATCTGTTATCAAGATCCCATTTGTATATCTGTTATCAAGATCAGCATTTATATGTGACTCCTAACTTAAACTTAACAAAAGCCTAACTTAAAATGCCTGCATACTTCATTCTTCACACTCAAATCACAGTTGGCAAATTTCTTGTAACATCCACATTCATATGCTCTGCGCTTCTTTACTCTGTTGGGATTGCCCGGACTGTGACAGGTTAGGATCCTCTCTAAATTTATTGTCCATGTCTGCTAGTCATTTGTGCCGGGGGTTTTTTTCTCTCCTGTTACTGGGTGGAGCTGAACGAGTAAGCATTCCAAAACACTTGTTGTATATGGCAAATAAAAAATCTTGAATCGAACTGCAATACACATTTTGTGCCGCCTTTGAAGCACTCGGTTACTTTAATTGAAGGAATAAACAATAAAAAGGTTTATAATCCTAAATTACAAAGTCAATGCCATTGAAGGGCATACTCTATTTACATTAAGTGGTGTTAACAAAAGGCATAGTAGGCATTTTTTAAGCAACTATTCTGAAGGAAATATAAAGAACGGTTGTCAGATAAACGCTGATGGATTACGTTTATAGATAGGATACTGTAAATTGTACTTATGAGGAATACTCAAAACATTCCATGTTTTAGAAAGGAAATTACAGCTTAATTGCTTATAGAATCTGATAATGAATGATTCTACACTACAGGTAATTTTAACCTGGGGGGAAAACTTAAATATTTTTAATACTTAAAATATATTGTATATAATTAATTTTAAAATTATGCCACACAGTAGTGCTATCTTTTAAAATTCATAATTAATATGTGTACTTCTGGAAAACCAGATGAAGCTTCTAATGTCATATTAATGTGACTCATTATGAAAGGTATACTCCACATTAACATGGAGAGCCACTCCATGTAGGATCATGACACTGCAGTAGAAAAGATACCTCACACATCTTGGTACTTCCCAAAAAATAAGGTTGTACCAGGCAATACCCTCTCAGCTCTTAAACAGGTGAGTAGCTCCCCCTGTGTACCAGAAGACAAAAGCATGTTCACTTCCAAACCATTGGATTCATTCTTGTGCAGGCTGAATTTATCGGTAGTTGGAAAATGCCAGAATTGAATGGTGGGACTTGTGCTGGGACTGACATATTACAGACCCTGAATACATATCCAACTACATTGTTTTCTGAAGGGACAATCATAACTAACCCTCTCTTTACATGCACTTGTGCTTATTAATGAAAATCAAAATTTATTAAATAAACATAGGCCTATACAATTTATACCAGATGCTTAAATGTTTATGAAGCATATCATGTTTTTAAAATAAAAAACATGTATATTTACCAAATTGTTAATGTACTATATGATGTTTTTTAGCATAAAAATGTTTGCTATTATTCAGATTGAATAATATTTAGTTGTAAGACAGTTTATTTATACTGTATTCATTTAATATTTTGAACGGGATCAGTATTCACATTAATAACATTTGATCACAGTGGAATATTGCCCATCACAGGTGGATAGGGGTATTTTTTCTCTGGAAGACTTGCAAATTGTTACCGCTGATGGAACGTGGCAAAACAGTGCAATCTTTCACTTTTGCAAGTGAACACAGCCAGTGGTGAAGAAAACTGGAATCTGCCTCCACTTACCTCAGCTGGATTTGGACCATATAATCTCTTCTTCCACCAGGGAGAAAATCCCTGAAAAAAAACACATAACATTTACATTTTGCAACTACAAACCGCCCCCCGAAAAGCAAAACCTGAAAGAATAATGGTTTTATTAACATGATAAAAGCACTTTTGGCTGTTGTTCAAAAAATAAATCATTTCTTAACCCTTTCCCTCTGGGACACGAAACATAAAAGCCACCTACAACCATTCCACTTTTTCATTTGGAGTCTTCGACTCACACAATAAGCAAATATTGTAGGAATCAAAGAGACTAAATGGCATCTTGTGATATGCCGTTAATATTCTGCCATATTCTATGTCTCAAAAATCCAGGCAAGCTGCAGCCAGAAGGCAAGGTACACCCTGGATAGGACTCCAGTCCACTGCTGGAAAAAGAGACACATACAGACATGCACACACTCACACCAGGGACAATGTTCCCAGCTTCCAATTAACCTACCAGTACTTGTTAGGGAGGAAACCAGAGTACTTGGAGGAAGCAATACTAACCTCTGCGCCACCATGCCACACCTAATTAGTACACCTTTACTATTTTTATCTCCGAAACCAAATCAGTCAAATATAAATTTAAAGATACATTGTGTAACAAAAACATCGATCACTACAAATAAGGATGGAAAATAACTTTCACCTGGAAATGCATACTTCTCGTACTTGTTGTGGTGTCAGGGCAAAGATGAAGTACTTCTCCTGAAAGCGTTGAATACTGCTGGCACCTAAAATGAGATTTTAAGTTACCAGTTGTGTTCCCTAAGATCTCCTAATTATAATGGTAATTTCAACAGAACAGTGTGTGCTGTATTTAGGAAGCGATTTGTTCAGGGGGCCACTAGGGGAAATGTTCACCCCATCTAACTGAGAGGGTTTTGCTGAGTGCTTTACAGTTAAGCTGATTTACAAATACCAAAAAATGGTATTGGTAAATACCATTGGCAAATTAAAAAAAAAACTTTCTTCTCCTTTACCCCTTAACTAATTCACTACAACCCCAGCATTTTTTTTTTAATTCAATATTGTTACCTACATCTCAGTTTCCTTATTTTCATGTGTGGTCCTTTTGCAAAGCCAGAGAATGATTTTGCAAAGACCATAATACAAACACAACACATGGCTTAAAAATTATGTACCCAGCAATTCTACTACCGAGACATTTTAGCCTTGTTAGCCTCACGTCTGCTACGGATCTCTGACAAGACAGACCAAAATGTAAGCTGTGAAAAGAAGACTACTGATGTCTCTTGGGACTGGTCATTCTCCATGCTGGCCTTCTTTCTATTCTTATAGCAAAATGCACAAATACTTACGTTGTGCAAACCTACACCACAGATTAAGCCAACTGCTCCTTCCCAATGATGATTCCAAAGCTATAATCAGGCAATATCTTTTCTAAGTGCAGCCATAAAACGTGTGTCACGAGGTTGGGTTGAGACTGTCACATTCTTAAAATTGCCACTGGTTGCATTTGCAGAAATTGTTCTTATGGAAAGATTTGCTAGTGCAGACACTGCGTGGTGAAATGCTTTCACTCATTTTGCAAATTTGATTAGACCCCTCAAAATTCAGTATGATGATTGTTCAAAAATAAGATAAGGGAGATAATAAAATTATAACGCTCCTTTATGTCCTATAGTCCACAACCAGCAAAAGTGCCTAATTGTTCACAATTTACTCTAGAACGTCATTATCTGAATTAGCGTTGCAAAGAAAAACAGCTAAATATAAGAAATATCACTGATTGATTACTTGCTTAAAAGCAGCACTCTATTATATTTACAATTACAGTGGGCAATTTATAATAAAGTATTTTGCATGCACAGTGCAGAGCAAAGAAGAGACAGATGCTTACCCAAGCTTGAGGGTTTGATCAGGACATCCAGCACATCGTAAAACGGCAAACTTTTCAGCTGGACGTCAGGATGGACAGGCGGGATGGGAGGTGCCGGCTGCTGCATGTCGATCCCGGGCTTCGTCTCGTGCAGCAGGACAGGACTCTGCGCTGCGGAGTGCGGCGGGATCGAGCCAGGCGCGCGAGAATGCACACCGGCTCCGGCCAAGTCCGGGTCCACGAGGGAAGAGTTACTATTCAGGGAGAAGCCGGAGGGCTTGAGGGCAGACAAGTCGGGGAGACTTTCGATTGTTCTGGGGTAACGTCGTCTATACAGTTCCTTAATTTTGATCTGAACAGCTGGACTGCACCCACTCTTTAGCAAGTGCAAGGCTCTCAGAAGGAGTTCATGCTTGCGACCGCTCTTGTTACGTCCTGCAAAGCCCAATAAAACCTGTAGCTCTGAGACCCGAAAACTTGAAACCATATTCTGAAAAAATACAAAAAATATAAACATTTGACGGGTGTTTATTTGGTTCAGCACAACTTCAGCAAGGCAGAACACTGGGCAAATTATACTATTGACACCATAATAAAAGGATAATCTACCATCTCTACAAGTGTTGAATAATCATAGCTCTTGTGCTACAGGGCTCCTTTATCATCATTTTACATCACAAGCAGAAAGGCAAGAAAAACATCACAAAGAACTAATTGAGATTAAACCACCTCCTGAAGAGCTCAAGAACTAGAAGTGTTCACCACTATAGCAATGTGCGGGTAAAGTGACAAACAAGTACAAAACACTTTCTACGGCGACAGCACCTTATGAAGCTCCAATTATTCCTATTAAATACTCAAACAACTAAATTATTTTTACTGTGTCAGTCCAGGGATGCTTCAGTGCCATCTTATGTATGAATGTAAGAATGAGGCTTACATTTCCTCCAATAACGGATTTGAATTCTTTATAAAATGAAGTACATCAAAGGCACACTGTAGACGTTAGAAAGCAGCCAGGTGTGGTTTCTGTACAGGATTTTGAGTGCATTCAGGAGAGTGAACGGTACTTTGTCTATTAGCACGGCGGGGGGAAAACGACTGTCACCTCTGGAGCAGTAGAGTTCCACCGGCTCTGCATTGCTCGCTGAGCGGCATGTAGTTTATACTCCACCCATACACATCTATAATATCCATCATCAATTTGACAATTCTCCCCCTTAACTGTGGTTTGATGACCACGTCCCTCCCAAGAAATCCCATCTGAAAAACCCACAGAAAAAAAGTAAGAAAACCCCGACTGACCCTTCATTATATGGTCCATGCTTGATTGTTCTTACTTGTTAATCCTTTTTCTTTACATTTCCTTAACAAATGTGATCGTATAGCATCTAAAATGTTAAGAATAATTCCAAAACCCATTAAAAACGGGAAAAGAAAAAAAACAAGGCAGACAACACACGTACTGTAAGCAGTCCTTGTCGCAAACACACTGCAACAGAGATTAAGCAACAGTTAAAAGTTGGAATAATAAAGAGATAAAGGGCACCATAATCAGAAGCACGGAGTTCACAACAGATTGCACGGTTCTGGTGACAAAACGGTTGATCTCGAAATCGGTAGAAATGCATCTGCTATACGGATGAAGAGGCTACTTACATGGTTTCGAGAATTGGCACAAGCTGTAAATATGTACAACACAACAGTCTAGACCAGATGTTTTGGCGGAAAAAATACCGTTCATAAAACCTAAAAACACATCTACGACAACAATGATGAATCAAATAGCAGAAAATGTGTACTTAAAGACACATCTATTAGAATTCAAAAGTTACACTCAACAGGCCTAATAATATAATTATTTTACGAGACACCAAATAAACCGTAACCTCCGACCAAAACACAAGAGGCAGACATTAACGTCTCCACTTAGTAAACTCCAATTAAAATATCAGTTCTAATGTAACGATTCCATAACAGATATACCCAATCATTCCAATGCTTTACGACGATGCTCAGTGCTCTTTCTATGTAACACGAAATTAATTTAATACTTTCTCCTACCCTCAGCTCCTCAAAATCCGCCATTTTCTTTCCGCGACCATCCTGCACCGCTCCAGGGTACCACCCACGTGACTAGGGTGAGCCCTTGAAAGAACTGGGAAGCGCAACATAAGAAAGGACAAAGCGTGGGCCTATTGCATGTTATCTAAAAGGCTTTACTGGAACTGGTCACATTGAAGGCAGAAGTGTCCATTTCTGATCGTAAACTGCAGAGATACAAAAAAACATTAAAGTTGCCAGTCTTGCAAATTATAATTATCAGAGTTTTGGTAGCTTGCAGTGCCACTGCTTCATTTAGAAGGCTTTTGGAAGGATATTTGAATCAGCATCCTCTACAAAACTAGATTTTCTTTTCTTTCTTTTCTTTGTTAATCCTCTCTCTTTGTGTAAGCAACTGCCTACTGTTCCACGTACTCCCTCTCCCACCAATCAGAGGAGCCCTTGTGGAAATTAAGGCTTGGTACATTTAAGACAGAATGAGAAGTCATTCAATCACTCTAAATGACCCATATTTGTATTAATAAAATCCTGCAAATGAAGCTTTAAGAAATTAAGAAGATTACTTTAAGAGGTCTACCCATGGCTGTTTGATTACCTCATGGGGCCCAAGATCAATTTGTAAAACAAAACAAGAAAAATAGTGATTTCAAATACTTAAATAATTTACATGGCAATTGGTACTGAAATGTTGGCAGAAATTTAAACAATGTGAATCTTTATACAATAATTTGAAGGTACTTTATTTAAAATGCTAACAACATGGTAAAACATCAAAATAATATTAAATATGTGAATATTTGAAATCTGTCAAGTAATGTAAGAGGCGGAATGCTTGACAAATTTTAAATCACACTCTCAAAATTGCAGATAATGATTTGAGATGCAATATAAAGTGAATTTGACATAAGTAGTGTTCTGTACTGCAGCCCCAACTTGCAAAAAGAAAGATTTTCTATATTCATTCCAGATAAAAAAAAAGATCTGAAAAACTTTTTAAACGGAAAACTGTAACACAACCGACTTCTTAATGAATTCCTTCTGTTCTGTTAAGCATTTTACAAAACAAAATCACACTACAGTCAGCTCAGAATCGTTACTAATATATACTATCTTATGGCAAAAGAACTATACCAGAATGAATACGAAAGTGATACCAAATACAAAGGCTTTGGAAATCATCACTGAAACTAGATGTTGCTGTGCATCCTATTGCCACAAGATGGGAGCATCACCTCATAACTGGATATGCTACAACAAAACATGCAGAACTTTTTCTTGTTAAAAAAATAGAAGGAATCAGAGTCATTTTAATGATCAGCAAATAACCTATTGGCATAGTGTAAACACCCACATTTTTAATTCACAGACATCATAACTGGAATTATTTTTAAATGATCAATGTTGTTCCATGTTGTTTCCACTTGTGTTGTTTAGTTCATGTTTCAGTGTTCTTTCTGAAGAAGTGCACTACAATGACTTAATAGAATATTCCAAAGCTCTGGTGGTTCTGCTATTTAGAAAACAAAGCACAAAAAAACAAAATATACACTTGACATACAGTACTGTAAATTCCTGCATTTAATTTACAAAGCCAAACAATAGAATAATTATGGGGTTTTGTTTGTATTTTGCATTTTCTATTTGATCAGACGGTGATGAAAATCACATTCATCACCATCAATCCATCCATTTTCCAACCACTTCATCCAATTCAGGGTAGCCGGGGAACCAGAGCCAGCGTTTGACAGGCGAAAGGCAAGGTAAACATTGAATGAGATGCCAGTCCATTGCACACACACTTTCAGACACACTGGGGAGCACCCAGAGGAAACCCCCATGAAGCTGAAGAGAACATACAAACTCCACACAGATAGCACCACATGTACAATAACTCAGGGCCCCAGCACTACAATGCAGCAAAGCCAACATCTGCACCACCGAGTCACCATTCATCAACATACTTTAACATATTTATTTGTCACTACTTTAGCTTCTGATTTATACAGTATGATGGAACTTTCCTAAATTATTGACCACATATTCCAGAAGAACTAGTCCAGAGCTGTACAACACTGGACAGAGAAAAATAACGAGACTCTGCTGGGCACTTGAAATCCACGTGGTTCACTTCAATAAGGCTATATTAGTGTCATTATACCACAGGTGTCAAATCCACACCATGAGCAAAAAGTATTCCAAGATTACTGAAATTCTATGAGATATAGACATACATGTGCAAAACGCAGTGAAAAAAAGCTGGAATCAAAACTCTCCTGAAGAAAAAGGGGATGTTTCCATTCAGAAGGATGAGAACATTAGAAAGGTCATACAAGAGCTCGATGGCCGTTAAACCCATCAGGCACATTTGTTTCTATTTCTGTGTTGTTCCATAGCCAGTATTAGTTCTACGAGGAAAAACTGCCCCAAGGTAGTATTGAATACCTTAACCATAAGCATGATGTTGCCTATACACAGAATAAGAACTGAAGAAAATTTATGCTTTTAAATGATCTTTTCAAAAGCGTCTCTGCATTAATTGGCTAAGGTTACTGACTGATTTTAAGTGCTTGAAATGCATCTACAGCATATGTTTTCCCTTCATCCCATTAATTAATTCCAGGGTGCACGCATTCAGTAATTCGGTATCCAAAATGGCCTATTTAGAGTCATTTGAATGATTTAGCATGCCGTCCTGCACAAATATCAACTATTTACTTCTACAGACACACTGTTGCAGTCAGCAAAACCCAGGAAGCTTTTCCATTTGAAGGAAAATCAGAAATAATGAGAATCAAATAAAATATGCAAGGTAAACTGCAATTTCTGTTAGGAACTGAAACAATCAAGATGCAGATTGCACCTTTCTTCACTTGAATTGATTTACGTTAATAAGGATATATCACCGCTGAGTCTAATTAGCAAATGTGTCTAAATTGTAGCTCTCAGTAAAATAATCTTTGTTGTTGTCTTCTGTTCTCTGTTAGAACTATTGATCATGGAATAACTGAAGTCTAATCTAAGATAATTTGCATGTTACAGTATGCTAAGAATGCTGGTAACAGGTAACTGCTTGATAACAGCTCCAGTCTTTTATTAAAATACCTTATTAAAGTAATAAAGCATTGCATTACAATAATTATACTGCATGATTATTTTAGAAGTACAAATTAATATTAATGGAGTGAACTGGGTGCTCTGGGCAAACTAAATAAAAATATCGTCATAACCAGTTTGTAGCCTTTTATGGACCACACCTAGCGTGCAGTGGTTCTTTAAGCAGTAACCAAAAAAACGAATGTCGGATTAATTAAGAAAAATCTTAAAATTGGAATTACATAACATTTATGCCATCCCTGAAAAATGAACTAATCTTACCAGTGCAATATTTGTGCCAGTGATGGACTATTCACAAATTCTACAATGAGAAGAGAGAATCAACAACACACCATTACAGCAGGGGAACCTTCTTCAAGTGAGTTTTATTTTCTTTTTACTTTGAAGTGGGAAATTAATCTTTTCTTCAACTTTTTAATACCAAGCACCTGAAGAAGAAAGAACAGCATTGTTGTACCAAAAAAGGATAATGTATTGTAGTTATATAGAACTATGTACAGTACAAATGCTAATATTTCACAAAAACACAAATTCTGCATATACTGTACACCACATTGTTACTCACTTGCCATCTCACGAGAATGAGTTTCTTCCATGAATCCGAAGGGGACTGACAAAGCCAATCAGGGAACCACACACTCTGACAACTTGAGCAGGTAACAACTTGTCTCAGGAGGCATCCTGATTTATAGTGTGCAATATGATCATGGTAAGCTCCCCTTGATACTCTTGCCTTGCTTCCTCAGTTTGACACCTTTGTTTCTTAAAGTGCTAGGCTTCATTCCAAATATTCTTCCTCCTTCTGGGTTTTTAAAAAGCCATAATCTCCAAAGAATTGATAATGTTATGATTTATACACTTGATGTATTGTCATGATTAAGCTAAGAGACAACATAAATAAACCAATGGAGCTGATGGGAGATGAACGTGGCAGCAATGCTTGGAGAAACAAAAACAACTAAGTGTCTCAAGGATTTGTTCAGAATCAACAGTGGACCTCACAACAGAGGACAGAAATGAAAGTTACAGGGAAGTGTTTTTAGCACTGAGAATAGGAATCACTTTTTTAGCAGAAAATCCACAAATTGAATGTCTCATGGTGGTTAGTGTAGGTATTCATGTAGAACCTGATGTTTAATTACATTGTTAGGGGCAGTACAATGTAAGCATATACAATTCAATTTCCTGTTAATCTGCTAAAAGGGTCCCTGACGAAAATGTTCCTAGTAAATAATGCAACATGACAGCCATAACTGTGGTCATGGGAGGACTATGCACACAGCTGTACAGCTGTACAATTTGCTATACACGTGAAGAAGAGATTTACAAATCTTTTTTCATAAAATCGGATTTGAGAGCCATACAGTAGCAGCCATAGACTCAGTACCGTTATTTTCATTCAGGTCAAGATACAGATCTTATATAATACAATATCTGAAATGTAGTGAAAATATAAGATATTTTTGTTGGATTTTGATTGAAAATGAATATGATGGGATGTATTCATTAATGACAAGAAACCTGCCGAATTTCAAGTCGGTCAGCACAGCGATTGTACTGCTGCTGCTTTTCAATGCAAACACGTAACATGACAGCCATGCCTTTTGTTTGAGCATTTGTGATAGAAACAGATTGTGTTGTACTGGCAGTGGTGCTGGAATTAGTCTTTTGTCACTGTGTGGTAACTAGAGGAAAGTTAAACTCAACGTATTTTAAAACCGATTAAAATTGTAAAAAAAAAAGAAAATGGTCAGATGACTTAATGTTGATACAACATTAAGTTATCTGATCATTTTCTATTTTTGTACTTTTGAATGTCACCAGGTTAAAAAGTTAAAAGAAACTAAATTGTGTTTTTTTTACTGTTTTATTTTACATAACAAAAACCACTATCACGCTTAAATAATAAATTACTTCATTCTATTTCTTTAGAAAATATACAATTATTTATTTCTTTAGATAATATACAGGGCCAGGAAAATCCTTGTTCCCTGAAGAAGAGGAGGAGCATTCCCGCATAAGAACCGTCCATCCTGAATTCCTTCCTTACGTGTCGCTGTATCCCGTGCATCCTTTGTCTCTGTTAGAGATTTGTCTATTATTTAATTGTCACGGTGTTCCCTCATCTCTTTGTATCTTGACAGGAAATTGATAATAATTCCATACATGTTCAAGCAGTGTTTGCTTGGTTTACAGTAGGTTTGATTTTACACCATTGCACTATTAATG